GCTTGGTGTCTGTGGAGGCCAGAACAGGACATGGGTTCCCCTGCAGTTAGACTTGTGAGTCACCAGTTGGGTGCTGGCAATCAAACTTGGCTCTTGTGCAAAAGCAGCAAGTGTACTTAATCACTTGAGACATCTGCTGCTCTAGACCTTGGCTTCCTAAGGTATAAAAAAGCTCCAGTGTGTTGGCTCCCTAAGGTCAGCTCTTACGGGAATTAAGGTGCTGGTGAAGTGTTTGTGAAACCCACCTTCTTTGTTTTAGCAGGAACACGCTGTACCTCCTTCATAGCTTTTCTAGCTGGTGGCTCATGTCAGACATATAACTGCCTCTTGATCACCTACAGGTCAGAGCTCATTTTGCCCATACTTTCTGTGTGAGCTCTCTGGCAGTTTGCCTACCCACATATCTGTGTAGCTCTCAACATCGTAGAAGATGTATTTCCATGGAAAAGGTTTCAAGTCTTCAACATGTCTGGTGCTTATCTGCTAGTTCCCTTAGTGGGTGTAAGTCCAGGTTTGGACTTGAGTTTAAGTCCAGTTCCTTAGGTATTTCTAACTTTGACTCTTGTCTAATCAGTGCCCATACCAAGTAAGCCCTTGCTAAGTGCTTAACAGTGTAAGCTTTGACCTGTACCAAGGACTCCTTGTGTTAAAATCTTTGATCCAGCTATCATAAGAAACGCATGACCCATTTTACAGATGAGGAAACTCAACCAAAGCTTGGGAAACAGCTCAGTCACCAGACTGCTCTTACTGTTATAGTGGAAACCTGGGTTCAGACCCCAAGCACCCATGTCAAAAGCTGAGTGCTGGGCCTGGAGAGACTGGAACTCAATCTTAGAACTAGTTGCTGCCTGAGTCAGGGCTGGGAACCAAACCTGGGACCTCTGGAAGAGCCAGGAAGTGCTCCTAACTACCACACTAAGTTCTAAGGCTGAGTTACAGTACCCTCGTGCTCGCCACAGGCACACATGGTTCGCATATGGCACTCACATGTAAACGTAGACTTTTTTAAAGATTTACTTTATGCCAGGCATGGTAGCACACACCTTTAATCCCAACACTCAGGAGGCAAAGACAAGGGGACTCTGAGTTCAAGACCAGCCCAGTCTACATAGTGAGATATAGTCTTTAAAAACAAAGTGTGTATTACAGTACACGTGGATGGCAAAATGGTGTTAAATCCCCTGGAAGTAAAGTTAGAGCTGGTGGTGAGCCACCCACAGGAACTGAACCCAGGTTCTCCAAGAGCAGCAAGTGCTCCAGCCTTCTGCTCCTGGGGATCCAGTGCCCTCTGACTCCTAACGCTGTCACCTGTATACACAGGCAATACACATGAAGTATTAGGTTGAATTCCCAGCACTTTTGATGTATAGGCAGAGGAATCAGGAGTTCAAAGTTGTCTTCAGCTATGTAAGTTGAAGACAAGCCTGAGCTATGTGAGACCCTCCCTGTCTCAAAAAGTTTGCAAATGTCTGCTTGAAGGCAAGTTCTCTGAACTAGCCCAAACAAAGTCATGTGATTCAGGGCAAGTTTTGAGCTTCTTTGTCTACAGGGCATGGATAAAAAACTCCTAAATCCTTTTCATGTCTGAAAGCTTGGGATTCCAAGAACTTAAAATTTGACTCCACTTTTATAGAGCAAGGGAGATGGAAAAGTTCTAGTTTATTGTTTCATTAAAACTGTCTAGTGAAGATGTTTTGAAGTGATTAAGTCTATATCTAAAAATAACCCTGCTACATCTTAAACTCTGCTGGGCCACTGCTAATGTCTTCTAACACTTGGGCCTTACCCACACTACAGCATTTATGCAGGGAATGTGCTCAAAGTCCAGCAGCAACTGGTATTCTGGGCTGTTCATGCAGGTTTCTAGGTAGTTCCTAAGTATTTCCAGTCTCTTCCACCTATGAATAATCACTCGTCCTTACATAGCTTCCTTCTCCATCATTGTTCGCCCGCTGACCTCTCTAAAATGGCACTCAACCCACCTACACTTCATAGTGTCTTGTCCCTCCACCTTGAGACTACCCATCTCATTCAGGCTGAAGATGAGCGTCCCTGCCATGGTGTCTCACAAAGCCTACAAGGCCTGGTGTTGTTTGCTTGGTGCACCTGTCAGATCCCCTGAGAGTACCTCAAGTAAGTTGTGTATCCCATTTCAACTGGAAAAAAAATTGTGGCAACACTAAGAACTAAAAAAAAAAAATTCTTACAAGAAAATCATTGCTAGGGAAAGGGATCTAGTTTTTTGTCGTGTAGGGCTCAGCCATATGTTCCACTGTGATAAACAGTGTACTCAAAGGATGTGGGTGAGTAAATGCTAACACAAGCATGAGGACTTGCTTTCATAATGTATGCCTGTAACCCTGGAGCGAGGTGGTGGCACAGATCACTAGCCAGCCAGACTACCTGAGGTGGTGAGCTCCGGGGTAAGTGAGAAACCATGCCTCAATAAGATGGAGAAGTAATTGGGGGAGACATTTCAAAATCAACCTCTGGCATTCACATATGTCCACATGGTCAAGCACAGACATAAAACACACAATACTTAGTTTATACTCTTTCTTTAGGGACTTTCCAACTTTATTTGACTCTCTTGATTGACAGAAGACATGGCATCCAAGTTGTGAATGACATGGCATGGCCTTTGTGGTGATAATACAAACAACCAGATACTGCAACTAAGAATTCAGAACAAGAAGTCCAGTGCTGAGGGAGATGATTGGGACTGGTCAGGAAGGGAGTCAAGGACTTGGGTCAGACTGAGGCATTAATATGTATTATATAATCTTATTCAGAGAAAATAAAACAAATTGCTTATAATCAGGCACAAATACTTCAAAGTTGGGTTTGTTTTCTCCTTAAAACCTAATAGGAAGTTTAGGGGTTGAGTAAGGCTGACAAGTGGAGAGCAGGTGGGTGGGCACCCCGCCCCTCCATGAATAACAATGAGTTTGCAGCACCAGGCACCCCTGTGTGACCCAGATCTTCCAATGAACCCAGCAGGCCCCACAGCTGTCCACCCACGACAGCAGCTGGTAGCCATTTACCCTGGAGTGGATCTGCAGCCCCCATTGCTGATCTGGACTGCCTCTTGCTTGCTTTTTTTTTTCCTTTGTGTTTCCAGCTGTCAGATCCACTGAGACCAACTCCGTCATTTTCCTGTCCTAGGGTAGAAAGATCTCACCCTCAACCTTCTCCCACTACCTTCAACACAAAGAGGAACCATCTCTCGTCCAGCCACTGGGCCTTTGTTTCCAGTGAGAAACCATGTGGAAATCAGCCTGAGCCTGCACACTTAAAACTTAAAAAAATTGAAAGCCTCATGTGTTTCAGTCTGGCCTCAGACTGTATGTGATTGAAGACAGCTCCCTACAGTCACGTGGTAGCGGTGCACTCAAGAGGCAAAGGCAGGCAGATCTGAGTTTGAGACCAGCCTCCTCTACAGAGCGAGTTTCAGGACAGGCTCCAAAGCTACAAAAGGAAGTCCTGGTGCAGGCGGGGGTGGTGGGAACACACACTAACCCGGAACTTCTGAACTCCTGCCTCTACCTCCTGAGTGCCAGGCAGGTTTTTTGTTTTTGAGACAGGGTCTCGTTAACCAAAGCTGGCATAGAACTATTTAGTTCGAGGCTGACATTGAAATCTTGATCCTCCCACCCATGGATTGGACTTACAGGCAAGAACTACCACATCTAATTTAGTATCCTGTTGTCTTACAAGACACCTTAAAAGAGTGGCAGGACCTGCCTCAACAGGGGAAGTAGCCAAAAGCAGCCAGTCATGAGAGTAAGGATCCCATGTAAACTAGAGTAAGACCCACTTGTGCTGGTTGTGGGGGCCAACCATACAGCCAATCCAGAATCCCAACCGCCTTCACTTCCTCGGAACTGCAGCAGTGACGGAAAAGCTCCAGCATTTGGGATCAAACATCTTGGTTTGAGTCTCACGTCTACCACTTTCTGCCAAGTTACTCAATCTTGCCGAACGAGTTTTCTTCATCTGAAGACACAATAGTTAAAGCTTACATAGTTGTGTTGATTTTATTAAATAGGTGTGCTTGGTAGTCTACAAAGTACACAGCATAAAAATTGTTTCATTGGGGCTGGAGAGTTGGCTCAGAGGTTAAGAGCACTGCTCTTCCAGAGGTCCTGAGTTCAATTCCCAGCAGCCACATGGTGGCTCACAGCCATCTGTAATGAGATCTGGTGCCCTCTTCTGGTGTGCAGACATACATGAGGCAAAATGTTGTATCCATAATAAATAAATAAATCTAAAAAAAAAAGTGGTAGTTGCCATTCCCACACATTAAAAAAATTGTTTCATTGTAATCCAGGATGTGTGTGTGTGTGTGTATACACATATACATACTGAAACAAAACTTTCACAATTTTTTTTTTTGATTCTTCGACACAGGGTTTCCCTGTGTAGTTTTGGAGACTGTCCTGAAACTAGCTCTTGTAGACCAGGCTGACCTCGAACTCACAGAGATCCGCCGGCCTCTGCCTCCCAAGAGCTGGGATTAAAGACCTGTGCCACCACCACCCAGCTTACTAGGGTCTTTTTGTATTCGAATATATTTTTTATGTGTGGACTGTCTTGCTGCATGTGATCTGTGCATCACAAGGGTGGGTGTCTGGGAAGCCAGGAGAGTGCCTCTGGCTTTGGATCCCCGGGAACTGGGATTACGGATGGGCACGAGCATCATGTCAGGGTTGTTTTGAGTTGATTCTGGGTCCTCTGTAAGAGCAAGTGCTCTTAATTGTTGAGCTATCTTTCTGGCCTCTTAATTTTTTTTTTATTGTGGGTTGCAGTCCACTACACTGTGTTGACGACTCCTATTGGGTAATTTCATAAAAGAACATAAAATTGTTAATCATGACAGCTATTCTGACCTGCAGATGGTTTGACTGCCCTAAGAAGAGTCAAGCCACAGGGCTCAGGTTGGCTCGTGGCACGGAAGGCCCGCCTCCTCCCCTAAGGTTAGAAGAGGAAAGGCGGAAGTAGAGGCTCAAGCGGTGACGCAGATTTCCGGTTTGGTAGCCGTAACGCGCGCGTGGCTGTCGCGAGGACTGGGGGTCGCTTGCCGCGGTGGCCCGGCACCTCAGCCCTCCAAAGTGCCATGAGGTCGGTTAGCTACGTGCAGCGCGTGGCGCTGGACTTCAGCGGGAGCCTCTTCCCGCACGCCATCTGCCTCGGAGACGTCGATAACGACTCGGTGAGTGCATGCGCACTGCAAATGACTGCACTTGGGCGGGGCCAAAAGTGGGAAGGGGCATGTAGTGCGCGTGCGCACCGGAGGCAACATGGCGTTTGGCAGAGAAAGTCTTGGTTGACAGTCACTGAACGATGTTTAGTTGGACTGGAACCTCTTGAACAGTTTTTTGTTTGGGTTTTTTAGTTTTAAATTTTAGGCATAGAACGTTTTGCCTGCTTGTAAGTCTATGTATCACGTGTGTGCAGTGCACGTAGAGTTACGGATAATTGTGAGCTGCCCCTTGGGTGCTGGGAATTTAACCCTATTCCTCTGGAAAAGCAGCTAGAGTCGTCCTTGAGTCATCTCCCCAGGCTATTATTATTGATAATTTTGATGGATAGAAAGTTGGTCCTCTTGCCCAGTTCCGTGACTTGTCACAGTAGGCGCCTTGTAAAGCAGTGGTCAGGTTTCTTGCATTATTACTCCCCCTAGTCCAAATAAATACCCTTTCAAAACTTTGCCAGCCGGGAAGTAGGAGCGCACGCCTTTAATCCCAGCACTCGGGAGTCAGAGACAGGAGGATCTCTGTGAGTTGGAGGCCAGCCTGGTCTACAGAGCGAGCGCCAGGACAGGCTCCAAAGCACACAAAGAAACCCTGTCTCGAAAAGAAAGAAAGAAGCAGCCTCTCCCTGCCCATGGCTTTGTCCCTCCCGTCTTCTGCGCTATCACCCTTGCACATTTGCTGCTGTTGCCCTTGGCTCCAGCACTGGAATCGACCTGTAGACTTCTGCTGCCATCAATCAGCCGCATGTACCCCACAATCGGTCTTGATCATGTCGGGTTCCTACTGTCTACCCAGAATAGACTCAGCTGGCTGGCGACTTTATAGTGCTGCCTCTTGGTTGAGTTACAAGAGCAATTTCCACCAACTTTTTTCTTTCCTAGGCAGCTGTTCCCTTTCTCATCATTTAAATGAATAAATAGAGAGTAGGCAGGGGAAACGCGTCGTTTCACTTCCTGGCACACAGTTAAAGCTCTGGAACTGTTAGTGTCATCAGTATCAGCAGGCCTCCCACTCCCAGAGCTACATGCCCAGAATTCACAGACCTACATAGGAAATATTTCAGGAGGGAAAAAATGGGGCTGTACTGAACATGTTCAGATTTCATTCATGGACGCCATTACCTGAGCAGTACAGCATAGCAACTTCAGTCCTAATGAAGGGGATATTCTTGAGGAATGCATTGTTGGGTTGCTTTGTAGTCCTAACATCATCGTGTGTGCTAATACAAACCTGACTGGTATTTATTCTAACATAAAGAGCCCTCCATTGACCAAAGTATATGCAGCTTGGGTTTGTGTTCATGTGACCCTCAAGATGTTTTAAAGTATATGGTAGCTGCCTGAGGATGTAGCTGCCAAACACTCGCTAACCACAAATAAAGCCACAGAAATAAATAAAAGAGAAAGAATTAAACTGGGCATGGTGGCACACTCCTTTAGTCCCAGAATTTGGGAGGTGGAGGCAGAGGCAGGCAGATCTCTGAGTTCAAGGCCAGCCTGCTTGACACAGCAAGTTCCAGGGCTAGACAAAGAAACCCTGCCTCCAACTTTGAAAAAGGAAAGAAAGAAAAGGTACTTAAAAAGTCCAGGAGATTATATACAAACACTACAGAGTTCCTGTAACCATGCCCCATGGCTACAGAAGTTCAACTGTAATTTATGCTGTCCTTATTTTTCTTACCTGCATTGTGAACTCCATTACTTTAAATTCCATAAGGATAGGATTTGTGTGTGTGAGAGAGAAGAGTTGGAACGGACGTTACAAAGGATTGTGAGCTGACGTGTGGGTACTAGTTACCAAAACTGGTTTTCTGCAAGAGTAACAAGTGCTCTAAACCACTCAGCGAATCTAATCTCTTCACCTCCCACACTCGGTTTTAATTATGTTTACCTACCTCCATGTGTGAGTGACGGGGCAGGTGCACACACATGCCACAATGCAGGTGTAGAGGTCAAGGGACAGCTTGCAGGAGTTAGTCTGTCATCTCCCATATAGATACTGCACAGGGATCAAGCTCAGGTTTTTAACTTAAAATTGTTATTAAAAGCAAGTGTGAAAAACAAAATATTGTATGGTGGAGATGTTGGTGGTTGGAGTGCCATTTTTTAAAGGGGCAGGTTGCTGGAGAGATGGCTCAGCAGTTAAGAGCACTGACTCCTTCCAGAGGATCCCAGTTCAACTCTCAGTACCCACATGGCAGCTAACATTGTCTGTAACTCCACGATCCGACTCCCTCACACAAACATACATTCATGCAGGTGAAACAGTAAAGCAAAGAAAAGAAGAAGCAAATGAGATTGTTTCACAGCTGCCTGAAGAGCTTTGTGTGTTATTAGGGGGAAAGATGTAAGAAATTGAAGAAATAGTTAGCAAATGATCAGCTGTAGCTCATGACTGCAGCTATCATTGTTACAGTCGGAGGGTGTAGCCCAGTGGTATGGCACTTGTGTAGAATGTATGAGACCCTGCATTCCTGTCCCACCACCATTCCAAAAACGAAAAAAGAAAGGGAAAAAATTGCTGCTAAGCGTGGTGGTACACGTCTGTATTTTCAGCACTCAGGAGGGAGAGGCAGGAGAATCATTGCAAGTCTGTGGCCACCATGATCTGCATAGTAAATTCCAGGTCACCCCAGACTGCACAATGAAATACTGTCTCAAAACTATCAATAAAATGTGGTTTGTGTGCGGCGCAGTGGTGGTGCACACCTTCAATCCCAGCACTTGGAAGGCAGAGGCAGGTGGATGTCTGTAAGTTCAAGACCAGCCTGGTCTACAGAGTGAGTTCCAGGACAGCCGGGGTACCACAGAAAAACCCTGTCTCAGAGGGGAAAAACAAACAAAAAACAAAAATCAAACATGGTTTGTAGTTCCCAAACATTTGGAGTTTTGGGAGTGGGGGGCCAAGGCTGATTTCAGCCTGATAAACCCTTAGCTTAAAGTTCTTTGAGGCTGATTTATTTCCTGCTGAGGTGGAGGGAGAAGCCAGGAAAAAACCCATGCTTTTGGACCGCCCACAAGAGCCTGGCTGGACGGGGCACAGCAAGCCTTTGCAGGCGAAAGCAGATCCCAGAGAGATTACACCTGTCTCGTTCAGCACTGCTGAACATGGCGAACCTTCCCTCCAGGTTTCTTTATGTCGCTGTGACCTGGTGGGGCCAGAGCTAAACTCTGTCGGGGCAGCAGATCCTGATGACAAGCATTCTAGTGCTGGAAAGCAGGCGGCCACCCTGGCAGTGGCCTCTCCCACATTACCTCAAGCTGCCTGCCTGAGTCACATCTGCATGCTCAGTGTACTTAGTGCTGTTTTATGAGTCTGGGTCTGTAGCTCTGAGAAACTGAGAGGTCCCTGTCAGCCAGAAGGCCGCCTGGAAACTGGGAGACTGACTGGCCATTCTAGGAACAGGAGGGCTGGCTGGGCATTTTCTTCTATTTTTCCTTTTTCTTGCTTTGATAATGCCTCACAATGTATCTACCCCAGGCTGGCCTGGAATTTCCAATCCTCCCCTCCTTCCTCAACCTCTGTGTGTGGGGATTATAGGCATGCATACCTTTGTAGGCTCCTCTCAGCATCTTATACAAGAAAAATGTAAGCAGGGACAGCAGATACGAGTGCTGACCACAAGTCTGGTGATCTGAGTTTGGTCTCTAGGACCCACATGGTAGAAGGAGAGAGTTGATTCTTATAAGTTGTCCCATACACACACCATGTGGCGCGCTCGTGTGTGTGTGTGTGTGTGTGTGTGTGCGCGTGTGTGTGTGTGTGTGTGTGTGTGTGTGTGCATAGATGGACACACACACAAGTAAATACCTGTAACTTTAAAAATACTTGTTTTGGAGCCAGGCGTTGGTGGCACATGCCTTTAATCCCAGCACTCGGGAGGCAGAGGCAGGCGGATCTCTGTGAGTGAGCTCCAGGACAGGTTCCAAAGCAATACAGAGAAACCCTGTCTCAGGAAAAAAAATTTTGTTTTGGAAGCACAAAGATAATTTTACTAGAATTTAGAAGAAAAACCTCCTGGCAGGTAAGCTGCCAAACATCATCAGCTGCCTGAGATGGAGAATGGGGGAAAGAAGGGAAAGCCATGACGTTTTATCTGGAAACAAGGTCAGACACGTGACCCACAAGCAGCATGGTGGAAGAGATGCTTTAGAGATGGAGGAACCCTGAAAAGCCTTTTAGAAGGTCAGTGTTGGGGAAAGCATGCTTATAGAAGACAGAAAGGGAAGGGAAGCTGCACTTGCCTGGGTAGCCCAGAAATGCAAGCCAACCTACAAGCCTACATGGATGTCACGTCCATGATGCTTTAAAATGTTAAGAAAGGTGTAATCAAGGTTGGAGAGGTGGCTTGGTGGCTAAGAGTACTGGCCACTCTTCAGAGGACCACAGTTTGAGTCCCAGCGCTCAGGGGCTCACAACTGTCTGTAACTCCAGTTCCAGGGACATGCACCTGGTGCACAGACAGACAAGCAGGCAAATCACCCATATACGTAAAATAAAAATAAACCAATCTTTTAGAGAGAGAGAAGCCAGATGTGGTGGTGTACATCTTTAATCCCAGTACTCAGGAGGCAGAGGCTAGCCCATCTCTGTGAGTTCAAGGCCAGCCCAGTCTACAAAGAGTTCCATAACAGTTACATAGAGAAACCCTGTCTCAAAAACCAGAGGGGGGGGAGGGAGAGAAAGGGGTAAAAACGGTATCAGAAAGATCTGTGTTAAAATCCAGCAGTTGCTCTTTAAGCCCTTACGCTGAATCCTCTATGGTGTCTGTGAAAGTCCCTCAGGCGGTTGTAATTGAGACCTCAGCTGGGGGGGGGGCTGTAAATAAGTGGACTATTTTGTGACCTGATACTCCTTTTTGTTTGTTTATTTTCCTTTTTGTATAACCTTGCACAAAACTCCCATAACTGTTAAGAAATACATCTTTAAAAGTCAAACCATTATGTCAGTTTGTCTCAAGATACCTTCTGTTGGGGGTGGTCTCATATAGCTGGCTCTAGCAGGCCCATGTCATCACATGAGGCTCCCTTACTGTTGTTGGTCTCTTAAGAATCTAACGTTAACTTCCTCTCTCTGGGGGAGACATTGTCTTCTTCCCAGTAGAAGATTAGGAAACTGTAGAAACAAGTTTGGAGCCACTGGTTATTGTGATGAGCTCCCCAAATGGATTAGCAGTGGTGGGGGAGAGGCTCCGTGAAGGCACCCTCCTTCCCCCAGAGCCAGAGCTGACACCTGCATTACCTTCAGGCCCAGTCCTTCAGACGGGTCCATTCCTCTGTGCTCCCATAATAAAAAGTCATTAAAACTCAGGGGTCTTGTGAGAAGAGGTGGGCCCTGGGAAATAGCTTTGTATTTTTGACCTCTGACAAAGTAGGAAGTCTGAAGTAATATTTTTCCAAAGTTCACTATTGGACCGTTTTCAAAATATATCCCATTTATAATGGACAAATGAGAGTAGCCAAGGCTAGGCTTTTAGACAGAGAGCTGTGCAGACAGCTGACCTACCTGAGTCACTGCTCTTGTGTAGAACCTTCCCATTGCACACACACAGAAGTAAGTTCTGGGAAATCATGACTGTCAGTTCCAGAGGATTTGTTTGTTGTTGGATTCCTTTTGCTTCACCTGTGCCAGGCAACTGCTCTGCTACTGAGCCGCTCCTAACCCCAAGGCAACCAGTCTCAGAAGATCTTTTTTTCCTCTCCTGAAAATCGTTCTTGCTGTGTAACTTGCTATCCTCTGGCTTCAGACTCCTGAGTGCTGGGATCACAGGCAGATCTACCATACCTCTCAACGCCTTTTTTGTAAAAGGCAGTATTCCAGGCTGGCCTTATATTTGCTGTGTAACTTGAGAATGCCCTCAAACTTCTGACACCATGCCAGTGCTGAGATTGGTGGTGTATGCCACGACACCTGTTTTCTCTTGTTATTGTTGTTGTTTGAGACACTATGTGGCCCTGACTGTCCTGAAACAGTCTGTAGACCAGACTGGCTTTGAACTCACAGAGATCCTCCAGCCTCTGCCCCTAGAGTACAGGGATCAAAGGGCATGCCACCACACCCAGCAACCATGCCTGGTTTTATGTAGTGCTGGGGATAGGAACCAAGGCCTAAGGTATTTTAGACAAAGCAACGCCTGCAGCTACACCTGCAGCCCATCAAAGGCTTTTTAATGATGTTCTGATTTGTCCAGAAGCAAGCTAATCTGATAAGGGGCTACTGGGGCCCAGTGGAATCCCTTCCTAACATCTTTGTCTCTCATTTGCAGTTAAATGAACTGGTAGTGGGAGATACCAGCGGGAAACTGTCTGTGTATAAGAACGATGACAGCCGGCCCTGGCTCACCTGCTCCTGCCAGGGAATGGTCAGTATTCGTCTCTACCGCTCTTGGGAAGGAGCTGGGGTGCCTTTGTGTTAGACTGACAAGGAGTCAGTCCCGCAGGGAGTTCCCTAGCAACTCAGCCGAGTCACAGCTTCAGAGATTGTTTGACTCGGGGAGGTAACCCCAGGAATTGCTCTCATCTGTCCTCTTTCAACTCTCCCACAAGACTATTATTTTGCTTACTTTCTGTTGCTGTGATAAAGGTCATGACCAAAAATAACCTGGAGAGGAAGGAGCTTATTTCAGCTCATAGTTTATAGTCTCATGAAGCCGGAAGTCAGAGCAGGATCTGAAGTCAGAACCCTGGAAGCATGAACTCACGGAGAACATGGAGCTGTTTACAGACCTGCTCTCTTATACAGCCCAGGACTACCTGCCCAGGGCTGGGCCCTCCCACATCACTTAGTAGTCAAGAAATAGCCTACAAGCGATCTGATGGAGGCTTGTTCTCAATTGAGGTTTCTCTTCCCATATAGCTCTAGCTTGTGTCAATTTGACAGGAAAAAGAGAAGACAATTATATTGTCCTTTATGTTGTGGAATGAGCTCACTGCTTTACGGAGACCACCTAAGGTTGTCTGATAGTATGCATTGCAGTCTTGCATTTGTTAACAGTCAGGACGTGTTCTGAGAAATGCATTGCTGGTACTTCCATCATGAGGTGACAACCACAGCATTTATGTAAGCTAAAAGAGCCACTGTGTCACCTTGGTTTTATGAGGTGGGCCTTGCTTTGTAGTTCATGCTGGCTCTAAACTTCCAGTCCTCCTGCCTCAGCCTCTTTTTTATTTTTTTAATTTATTATTATTTTTTTATTTGAAGACAGAGTTTCTCCGTGTAGCCTGGCTGTCCTAGAACTCTCTCTGTAGACTAGACCGGCCTCAAACTCACAGAGATCCGCCTGCCTCTACCTCCCGAGTGCTAGGACTAAAGGCGTGCACCGCCGCCACCACCCAGCTATGTGATGGGATCTTGCAGGTCCACCATAATATATGTGATGTGCTGTTGACTAAAACATCCTTATACAATATGTGTCTATAATAAAAAATGGGGATGATAATTGGAATAATCTAGAAATATGATAATCAAGCTATTTTCCTGTTTGGTGGGGCTTTTGGGGCAATGCTTATGAGACAGGGTCTTGCTATGTAGCTGTAGATAGCCTGGAACTCATGCCTCAGCCTCCTGAGTGCTGGAATAGTACAGGTGTGCACCACACAGCTAGATTTATTCATTTTTACCTAAGTCTGAGTTTTTATCTACTTGATAAACCATGTTGTGTATGGATAAACCAAATTACCGAACTCAATGTTTCTACTAATAAGGACTATTCATGTAGGTCACATGACACAGCCTTAGGAGATTAGGGAGAAACAGTCTCTTGGCGCCACCATCAGCTTCCCTTTCTCTCTTGCAGTTGACCTGCGTTGGGGTTGGAGATGTGTGTAATAAAGGAAAGGTAAGGACTGGGGCATCTCGGGCTAGGGTAGAACCCCAAGTCCCTCCTCCATTGTGACTCAGCCCTGGCCCTTATCAGCCTCATCCCCAGACCATACACCTCTCCTCTACCTCTCTCCCCAGAACCTGGTGGTGGCAGTCAGCGCGGAGGGCTGGCTTCACTTATTTGACCTGACATCCACCAAGGCTCTGGATGCCTCTGGGCACCATGAGACTCTTGGAGAGGAGCAGCGTCCTGTCTTCAAGCAGCATATCCCAGCCAACACCAAGGTCATGCTGATCAGCGACATCGGTGGGTTTGGGCAGCCCGGGAGTATATTGTACATTTGTTGTGTGTTTGCATTTTCTCTTTTTATTTTGTTTTACTTTATTTCCGTTTGTTATGTGTTTGATGCATAGTTACTGGGCTCCTGTTATACGCTAGGAACAGTTCTAGGTTCTAGAATTACAAAAGTAAATGAAGCAAAGAAACAAAAAGCATACCATCTCAGATCTGACTAGGAAGAGACAAAGTAAATTTTGTAAGAAAATTAAATAATGTGGCTGGGAATTTGGCTCAGGGTTAGAGAGAACTACCCATCGTGTATCAAGCCTGAGTTCAATCCCAGCCAAAACTCAATCAGTACTACATTAGAATGGAGCAAAATAAATGACTGAAGATATCAAAGTAGAGACAGCAATTTTAAAGATTTCTTTGTATTTAGTTATGTGTGCACATGAGTGGAGGTCAAGTCCCCTGTAGTTGGAGTTACAGGAAACTGAGTCACGTGGCATGGGTGTTAGGAACCTAAGGCAGGTCCTCTGGAAGAGCAGCAAGTACTCTTTTAACTGCTAATCCACACTCAAAGGGAGTTAATGGAGTTGCCAGGGACATTGTTGTTGGAAGGCGGCACTTGGTAAAGAGCTGACTGGCCGGAGATGAGCTGTAGAGACATGAGGCTGCTGATTGGCCGGAAGCTGTCTAGTAGTGGGTGTGTGGGATGGGTCACGGTGCTGTGCCGTGGATACAGGAAGCAGAGAGCAGAGATGATGGGCCCTGCATAGCATTTGAGTGAGAGAGGCCAGGCAGGAATGGGCAGTGCCCACAGGATGTGGTGAAAGGCTCAGAAGACTGGACATGAAGCTGCGCTCACTGAAAGTGCCAGGAGTTTCAGCTGTGGAAAGGCAGCCACAGCCCAAACTGACCAGCCAGGCTTGGCTCCAAATCCACTGTTCCTGTGCCTGCAGATGGAGACGGGTGTTATGAGCTGGTTGTAGGATACACAGACCGTGTGGTCCGGGCCTTCCGCTGGGAAGAGATGGCTGAGGCGCCTGAACACCTGACAGGGCAGCTGGTGTCCCTCAAGAAGTGGATGCTGGAGGGTCAGGTGAGAAGCAGAGTTTGAGAACCTAAGAGGCCTCCCAGAGGAGGCTTCTGGAAGGTGGGGCCCATCTGGGAAGAAAGGAAAATGTCTTTGCTGAGAGAGAGCCAGGTCATTTCCAGGCAAGGTCCCAGGGGAGTTCTAGTAACAGTTATGGAGTGCAGACAATGGTGACTACAAATTCAGTGTGTGAAGGTGTGTGGTGTGAGCCATGTCTGGAGGCGATGGTCTGTGGAGGGGATGGTGCCAGACAAGACTCTGGACCTTAGAACTCCTCCTGTCCCCATCAAACTGGAGGGTAATTCTCAGAGGTCCTGCCCCTGTGTCCCTGGTTCTGGTGGCAGAGTCTTCCTTCCTGCTCTGTCCCCCATTAAGACTCTGTTCCCTGGTGCAGGTAGACAGTCTGTCTGTGACCCCGGGGCCTCTGGGTGTGCCTGAGCTGGTTGTGTCGCAGCCAGGGTGTGCTTATGCAGTCCTACTATGTACCTGGAACAAGGACACAGGCTCCCCTCCCGCCTCTGAGGAGGCCGCAGGAGACAGTAGGTAAGGGGTGCGGGGGTGGGCACATCAAAGCGAGGACAGGGTGACGTGGTGGTGAGCGGGTCTGCGGGGCCGGGCCTCCACCATCTAAGCTGCAGCCAAGCACTGGGCCCCGATAGACAAGGCAGGCTTGGGACCGGGAGTCCTGGGCTTTAACCCTGCTGCATCTGAGCACAGTGAACCGGCCTTTGCAGAGATCCCACCTTTCAAATTCAGGTCTCGGGACTCCCACCTGGCAGCCCTTGGCTCCTCCTTCCTTTTGCTGCATGAGTCAGAATGGGGGGGGGGCTCAGAAAGGAAGCCCCTGCAGCGATGCTGGATAAAGGGCTTAGAGAACTGAGCTCCCTCAGCCTCCCATTGACCCTGTCTCTTTTACAGGGAGACCCCAGCTGCCCGAGACATAGTGCTGCACCAGACATCTGGCCGGATCCACAACAAGAACGTTTCCACTCATCTGATTGGCAACATCAAACAAGGTAAGAGAGTGGAAGGAGCTGAAGAGCAAAGCAGCTCTGGAAAAAAGGAGACCCAGAGCCTTGTCCTTATTCCTGCCTCCACCCCCCACAGGCCCTAACCCTGAAACCGGTAACTCAGGCCTCTTCGCCCTGTGTACCCTAGATGGTGAGTAGTCCTGGACTGGGTGAGGTGGGTGTCTGCCTGAGGGGTCTGCTCAAAAGCCCAGCACGCACACACACACACACAAGCACAAACATAGCCAACACACACCCCAACACCAACATACACACACGCAAACACACACACCCCACCTCTCTTCCTGCAGGGACCCTGAAGCTGATGCAGGAAGCTGACAAGCTGCTGTGGTCTGTACAGGTGGATCACCAGCTCTTTGCCCTGGAGAAACTGGATGTCACAGTGAGTGGACTTTTCCCCTTTTCGTTTGTTTGCTTTTATGTGTGTATGTTTTGCTTGCGTGTACGTCTGTATGCCTCTTGTATACCTGGTGTCCATAGAGGCCAGAAAAGGGCATCAGACCCCCTAGAACTGCAGTTACAGATGGTTCTTACCCACTTCGTAGGTGCTGGGAATCAAACCCAGGTGCTCCAGAAGAGGAACCAGTGTTCCTAATTGCAGAACCATCATTCCAGCCCCATAAGAAGACATTTAAATCAGCCATTCTCGCCTCCCAGTCAACTGAGCCTTTGTCCTAGACCTGAAATGAGTGTGTCCCTCTCTTTACACTCAAGTGTGCCCTTATAACACAGAATTGAATACTTCTCTTTGAGGCTGCTAGATTATCATGCCTTTCAGCCAAAAATGCTAACCCTAAAGAAAGCAGGCTATAGGTCTAAAAGTGGGCTGTTTGTCACAGATATAGCTGTGTCTTGTGGTTTTGTGGCTTTTGTTTTGTTTTGTTATCCATGAGTGTGTTTGGTGTCACGGTAGTCCTCAGTTGACAGATGGGCCTACACTGGTTACTACTGTGGCACCTGCTGGATGGCCTTGACCTATAGAACAGACCTGTGCTTGGGTCTTGCCCCTGCTTGTAACCTTGGGCAAGTGACTATCCCTCTAAGAAATTACCCAATATAAAACTGAGAATAGCTGGGCAGTGGTGGTGCACGCCTGTAATACCAGCACTTGGGAGTCAGTGCTGCAGGCGAATCTCTGTGAGTTTGAGGCCAGCCTGGTCTATAGAGCGAGTTCCATGACAGGCTCTAAAGCTACACAGAGAAGCCCTGTTTTGGGGACAAAAAAATAGAAAAACAAAACCCTGAGAATAATGACTGCATCATAGTGTGGCTTGGAGCATTAGGCAGAGCAGATTACCTATTGCCCTGTTGGACACTGGGCACATGGAAGAAATACCCCAGTTTTTAGTTTACCACCCAGTCAAGCTCATGGCCCCTTGTATCGCCCCCCACCCTGCCATCAGATCTTTTGTTCTTTTATGACACAGGGTCTCACTGTGTGCTGTGTAGCCCAGGCTGGCCTCTGCCTCTGCCTCTGCCTCTCAAGCCCTGAGATTACATATGACTAGATCTCTTTCTAAAATGGCCCCTAATCCTTCTGGTACCCTGTCTTTGACCTTTCTCAGGGCGATGGGCTTGAGGAGGTGGTAGCATGTGCCTGGGATGGACAGACATATATCATCGATCACAACCGCACCGTTGTCCGCTTCCAAGTGGATGAAAACATCCGTGCCTTCTGTGCAGGTGAGACAGTAGCCTCTAAGCTCAGCTATTCAAGCTTAGTAAATGTGCTAGAAAGTGATTGACTCATTTCCATTTCCTGTCGCCGCAGATAGACATCTTCATACATGAATGGGCTTCTTAGCTTTCACTGCTATCTTGACAGTTTTTTTAATTTGGGGGGGTATTTATATGTCTGAGTCTTTGCCTTAATGTTTATATACCATGTCTGTGAAGTGCCCACAGAAGCCAGAAGAGGGCATCACATCCCCAGAACTGGAGTTTACAGACAGTTGGAGTTGTTAGGAATTGAACCTGGTCTTCTGAAAGAGGAGCCAGTGTGCTGAGCCATTCCCCCGGCCCCATTCCCCCAAGGCATTTTGGAATCAGACATAAAGCACAGAGAGGGCCCCATATCTAAATGTGTAAACACTGGGACGGCTGTGGGAAGATGTTTCCAGCAACAAGAAACTGGGGACTTTGGAAAGCTGCCGCAGCTATTTAAATGACAGGGACATGTCTGGCTACTAAACTGACAATGAACTGACAATGCAGCTTGGTGTAGAGCCTCAGCTGGCATGTGCAAAGCTGCGGGCCCAGTCTCTAGAGCATCAAGATAGGTGGAAAAAACTGGAAAACACCCCAGCTTTGGAAGAAGAAACAAGCCAAGAGAAGCCTTTCTCTCTGGTTGTCTTGTTAACCTACCCCTTGGATTAACAGGGCTATCACTCTTTACTCCAGAATATTACTAAGATGAGAAGACCTACAAATACATCTTTTGGGGTGCTAACTGTGTCTTTTTCATATCTAGAATGTGTTGCATGTTTTACCATTTTATGTATTATACTGGGTTCTTAACCGAAGAAATAGGAAAGCGGCATTTGTTGATTGGTATCTGTGGAGGGTTAATGTTGCTGCCTCTGTTGCTGATGTCTTCTTGTCCTTGCCACCAGGACTAAGTCTTGACCTTTTTCTTCTTGCCCCCAACTCCCAGGCCAGTACGCCTGCAAAGAGGGCTGCAACAGCCCCTGCCTGGTATACGTCACTTTCAGTCAGAGGATCTATGTGTACTGGGATGTGCAGCTGGAGCGGATGGTGTCCACTAATCTCCTGAAGCTGCTGGAGGCTGAGCCTGAGTACCACAGCCTCCTGAAGGAGCTGCATGTGGGTGAGTGTCAGCACAGCCTGCGGCCCTGCTCCCAGAGGCCCAGCAGCCTCTCACCAGTCTGTCTCTTCTTGGCCTGCAGACCCTGATGATCTCCCTGCAGTCCGTGCCCTGCTTCACCAGACGCTCTACCATCCAGACCAGATACCACAGTGTACCCCCTCAAGCTCCCAGGACCCCACCTAGCTGCGCTTAGCCACTTAGCTGCTGAAGGATCCTTCTGAGCCCCCACCCTCTCCCAGAGTGATCCATGGTCTTGGCAGGATGGGGAATATCTATTGCAGAGGAGCAGGACCTGATTCTCGGCACAGAAGGACAGTGGCACCCCTGACAGCCTTTGATGAATGCCCCGTGGTCGCTGCCTGGATCCCAGGATCCCAGTCCCATCAGTCACCCGTCCCTGAGTTCCCTCCTCTTATTCCTGTTCTCACTGCAGAAAACAGACTTGTTTGTGAGAAAAGGCAGCAAACCTTTTCCATGGTGCCAGCACCTGGAAAGACAGCGGGCTTCAGGCCTGAGGGCCTAAGGGAGCGGTGAGGTAAGCCCCATCCTCCCACTCCTGCTGAGTGCCGACTTTCGAAGCATAGCTCCAGGCAGCTGACACCAGTAATTATTGCAGGAATGGCGGACTGTTTAAGGGCATTTTCCTGTCTCATCTTCCTGTGTTCTTCCATTTACTGAGGCAACGAGGCTTTCTCATTTTGTCATTGCCCCCCCCCTCTGGTTTTGTAGTGCTGGTGGTTGGCTGGTTTGTGTTTGTTTGTTTGCTTGTTTGTTGTTGTTTTGTTTGGGCATGTGTGTCTGTGCCGAGGTGGAGCCAGGGCCTTGCAATGCTAGCCAAGCACTCTGCTATTCAGCTACGCCTTGGCCCTGCCATGTTCTAAAATTTTTGTTTTGTTTTGTTTGGTTGGTTGCTTTTTTGAGACAGGGTTTCTCTGTGTAGCCTTGGCTGTCCTAGAATTCTCTCTGTAGTCCAGGCTGGTCACAAACTCACATAGATCTGCCTGTCTCTGCCTCCCAAGTGCTGGGATTAAAGGTGTGTTTCAACACCGTCTGGCTGTTCTAAGTATAGTGCTGCTTGGGAGCTTCCCAAATATCTTACTGTCTATAAAAAAAGTAGGCGCCTGCAGTTTGTCCTCCATGATGGTGTGCCAGTGTAATCCCAGTGCTTGGGAGGAGATCCTAAACCCAAGGCCAGCCAAGGCTCCATAATTGAGACCATCATGGGTCTCAAACAAAAAAGACATTAACAATCTGGTGTAGGTTTATGATCTAGACTATAATTAGAATTATATAATTGAACCAGGCATGGTGGCATACACCTTTAGTCCCAGCAGGTGGATCTTTGTTAAGTTCGAAGCAGCCTGGTCTACATAGTGACCAACCATAGTGTGGCCCTGACTTTAAAAAAATTACATAGATATAGTTTAAGCCATTTCTGTTTTATTTGCTCATGATCGTGTGTGCTGTATTCTTCCAGGTGTAGGTGAGAAGCCTTTGGTGGATCGTGGCTAGGGTTTGTGGGTGCTGATGCATTTTCCCATGCACACATGTATGGAGACCAAAAGAGGATGTCCTGTCTCCTGCATTCTTTCCCTCCACTTTATTCCCTTGAGACAGGGTCGCTCACTGAGTCTGAGCTTGCTGCTTCATAGAGCTGCTGATCTACCTGTGTCTGCACCGCACAGTGCTGGGGTTGCAAGCATCTGAGCAGCATATATATATATATATAACTTTAGTTTATAGTCATTGGTGTTTTGCCTGCATGTATGTCAGTGTGAGGGTGTCCTTAGCCTTGGAACTGGAGTTACAGACAGGTGTGAGCTGCTGTGTGCTTCCTGGGAATCGAACCCTTTAACATGGTGCTGAGCTTGATTTCAGGTTCTCATGCTTGAGTAGCAAGTGATCTTCCCCACTGAGCCATCTCCCCAGCCCTCAGGGCTTTTGAACTAAATAAAATGGAAGAGATCAGAGTCCATTGCTCACAGTGGAGTTCAATGTGGTTTGTTGCAATTGCATGTGTTTTTGTGCAGCACATATAGTGTAAAATGTACTTCACAAGCCTGTGGTCCAACTTGGGAGAGGTACACCATTCATACTTTCCCTGTGAGTCCGAAGGCAGAGATATTGTGGGCTCCTGGGTGTAAGGAGGAAAAGACCAAAGAAGAACATGGCTTAGAGAAACAGTGTTTATTCAAATGCAGAAGCAGGCTAAGGGCCTGCCCTGGGCCAGGTCTGTCATTACAGGAGCAGTAGGAGGCAGACCGGGAAAGGAGCATAGATCTCTAAGCAAGGTGATGAGGGAGTCAGGATTGAGACCAGGTACCATGACACTTATGCTCAGCCAGCCCGCTCTTGAGAGTGAAGAAAGTGAGGCTGTGTCCTGGTTCCTCTTGGGTGTACCCACACTAGGCCTAGTATTTAGTTCCCAAGTAAGGGACCCAGTTTCCTGTTATGGGTTAGGTATGTCATTGTCTCTTTCCCTAACCATGATTTGAGAGTCAGCCCAGCCAGAAAGACACTCGGATATCTGCAGCCTAACTAAAAGCTCTCTCAGCTCAGGGACTATGCCTTCCTAGTCTAACAGTCCTACTTACTTGTCACTCCCCCCCCCAACCATAAGCAGATAGGTTCAGGATCAAAGGGGCAGGTCCCAGGAGGGCTGGCAGGCAGGCTAGGAGTCTGGTTGTGATATGCCCTAGGGGTGGGAGATGCAGGTAGACAGTAGAGGAGTAATGTGTGGACCTCAGGCAGATGGAGGCAGCAGTCGACCCCCTAGGGCTAGGACATAGTCTAGAGTCCATTTTCTGTAGATTCTTTTCTGTAACTGACCTGGCTGTGCTCTCAGGGAGGGATAAGAGAGAATGGGGAAGCCAGAACCTTGGAGTCATAGAAATTCTCGGGAACTCCTGGGGCAGAGAGCAGCTATGGAGAAGCAGAAACGGGGGCAACTGCAGGATCGGGGTGGTGAGAAAACAGACAATGCAGTGGTCTCCAGATGCCCTGTCAGGCAGCGTCCCACTCCTCACTACTTTTCCCCTAAGGCACAGTGTCGCCCTGGGGACTGGCTGAGACAGCGGTCACTGGCCAGGCTCTTGATACAGAGGCAGGAAGGGCAGCTCCGAGAAGGGGGCTTTCAGCCGCAGCACTCCACGGTCCAGGTCAATGCAGCACTGCCATGGGGACCCCGCATGTGTGTCACCTCCCTGCCCGCTCCCACCTGCTCCCCTTCCTTCTGCCTCTCCTTGCTCCCATGCCCCTGCCCCTTCAGGGAGAGAACCGTTCTCCTGAGTTTACTTTGGGGGCTAATTAAGTAAGTTCCGGGTTTCACGCTTCTCTGTCTTTCTCGCCAGCCTCCTCTGGGCTTCCTCCCTGAGCCTTCCACCAGGCACAAGCTAGCATTTGGGCCAGGCACAAGCATGGATGCCTTACCTTGAGGGAAAGCAGAGTCTGCAGTCCCAGGCAAAATTCAGGGCTCTCCACATCTGCAGGAACCATCAGAAAATGAGATTGCATCTGTGACCACTGATGCCCTCCTGAACTCTGGCCCCTTCCCTTCCCAGTCCACCCCTGAAATTGAGAACAGCAGAATGGCTGATCTGAGCATCTTGGGATTGTGCGCTGACACCCGAAAACCTCTGCCTTTGTCCCCGACAAGAGATGAGAGGCTGGGGGACTTACCCACCACTTGGGCCGAGCATGCCACAGTCTCCTGCCCCAACTCTAGCTTCAGCTCTTCCACCTGACTTGGTGGCCCAGGTGCCAGGTCCCCACCTGGGGCTTTTGGGACCCTCTTCCCTAACCTGTGGTTAGAAAGCAAGGATTATATAGCCACCACAGACCCCCACAATTAAAAAGCCAATACTGATCTATGTTCTCTTCTAGGCCCTGACCCAGGGGAGGCTTAATCCTTTCCTGCCAAGGCTGCCTGACCAACCTCCCTTACTTTTGTTTTGTTTTGGTTTTGTTTTTCGAGACAGGGTTTCTCTGGGGCTTTGGAGGCTGTCCTGGAACTAGCTCTTGTAGACCAGGCTGGCTTCGAACTCACAGAGATCCGCCTGCCTCTGCCTCCCGAGTGCTGGGATTAAAGGTGTGCACCACCAACACCCAGCTTAACCTCCCCCACTTTTAAAAACGTATGTGTTGAAATATAGTTTGTCTGCCATCAAGTTCACTCTTGGTTGTGGGTTTTGTTTGGGTTGGTGAGGGAAGGTTGTGTTTTGCTTGTTTGTTTTAAACAGTCTGTAGAGCTTAGGCTGTCTCAGACATCTTGTGTAGCCAAGACTGGCCTGGGGTTCCTAGTTCTCCTTTACCCCCAGATGTTAGGGTTATAGCCTTGAGCCTCAGGCCCACCAAAGTTCACTCTATAATATGCAGCTCAGAGCTAGGCATAGTGGCGCATGCCTTTAGTCCCAACACTTGGGAGGCAGAGGCACACTGATCTCTTGAATTTTAGGCCAGCTTGGTCTCAAAAAGTGTACACTTCAACGATATTCAGTAGCAAGTCAGAGTGCAACCATCTTCATAGACACTTTGAAGATAACTCATCACCCCAAAAGAAACCCCATCCTGAAGCCAAGTGTGGCCTGTCGTCTCAACACAAACTCACATGCAGGAGGCAGAGGCAGAAGGCTGTTGAATTTGAGGTCAGTCTGGGCTACACAGGGAGACCCTGTATCAAAACAAAAACAGAAAGGGAAGGAAGTCACATGCCCTGACCACTGGTTGAGGCTGCACTCTTACCCCAGGCGCCTGAGGCATCCAGTAGATATCTGATTGTGCTGGGTCCCTGTGTCCACCGCCACTCGAAGCATCTGGTCCTGGCACTAAAAATTAAAGAGTGTGATGACGGGGGATGTCCTTCTGTATATGTGTTTCTCTTATTGGTTGATGAATAAAACACTGGCCAATAGAGGCAGGGAGATAGGCGGGACTAGGAGAGGAGAAGAATTCTAGGAAAGGTAGGTAGAGAGAGACCAAGAAGAGACACCATGGAGGAACTGGGAGGATAGGATGTGCCAGGCATTCTCTGGTAAGATAAAGCCATGTAGTAGCTATGGGTTAGTAATTAAGACAGCTAGCCAATAAGTCCTAGCCGTCAGCCAATAGTTTTACATTTAATATGAGTCTTTGTGTGCTCTTTTGGGCCTGAGGAGGGCTGCAGGGCATGATGGAAAGACACCTCCAGCAACAGTGTGGTGAGTTGATAAGTCCCCAATGAGGGGACTGGGTTTGACCCCCTCGACTTCCCTTTCAGAGACGGGTAAAAGGAATGAACAAGTTTTCAAAAGGGAATCAAAGAAGTTGTATTCCACACAGTGAGTCCAGTAAGTTGAGAGATCTGGACTGGAGCGGCAGTCTTGTTTGTTTAGAGGACTCTTTGAGAGGTTGAGGGGTTCCTCCTGGTCAAAGAGCTGCAGGTCAGGAGGAGACGAAGAAGACAAAGCTCTTCTGCACACTCAGGTCTGGGTGACCAGAGTGGAAGCCGGAAGAAAGTTCACTGCCTTAGGATACTGACAAGCATCAAGGCAAACATGGATTCGTACACATGAGGAAATTGGTTTTTTAGTTGTTTTAAATTTGTTTTAGTTGATGCTTGTTAAGGTGTCAGGGCCCCTGGATCTGGAGTTACAGACAGTTGTGAGATGCCATATGGGTGCTGGGAATTGAAGCTGGGTCCTCTGGAAGAGCAGCCAGTGCTCTTGACCACTGAGCCATCTCTCCAGCCCTGTTTTTTTGGGTTTTTGTTTTGTTTTAAGATGTATTTATCACGTATGCATGTATCCCTGCAGGCCAGAAGAGGGCGCCAGGTCTCAATACAGATGATTGTGAGCCACCATGTGGTTGCTGGGAATTGAATTCAGGTCCTCTGGAAGATAAGCCAGTGCTCTTAAATGCTGAGCCATCTCTCCAGCCCCCCAGAAATAGTTTTCTTGTTTGAAACATTTATTGAGCATCTATATGAGATGTATGGCTAATGGATACTTTAGTGAGCGCCATCCCTCGGCAGTGTAAAAGAGATAAAATACACTCCACACTGCAAGGTGTATAGTAGGGTCGTGGACTGAGTGCCTCAGAGCATGGAGAGGACAGGGAGTTGTTCCCTGCTGAACAGAGACAAGCTTTCATGGAGGAGGCAGCATCTGAGCTGGGCCTTAAGGAATAAGATGGGGACAAGGGATGGTTGGAGATCAGGAAATAAAACTAGGCAGAGAGTCAGTGGGCATTTATTGGAATGTTCCACTAGCAAGGAGGTGCTCCAGAGATGAGCCTTGGGAACATAGAGATGGCTCAGTGGTTAGAGTGTTTGCAAGTCTCTCAGAGAACCTGACTTCAGTTCCTAGGTTGGGCAGCTCACAACTGCCTGCAACTCCAGCTCTAGGGGATCCAACAGCATTTCTGGCCACTGTACACACGTGCGCGCACACACACACACACACACACACACACACACACACACGGCATCACAAACACATACACATAAAAAGCTAAAAGTCTAAGATTATTTTTCACCTTGAAACATGAGCCCATTGTACTCATGCATACTTTCCCATGTATGTGAGTAAAGGATCCGCACATTTAAATCTACTTTAATAAAAGCATGGGAGCATAGTACTGCTGACGAATGACATCACACAGAGAAGACAAGTGAGACAGGCAGGAAAGCCGATGCAGGGCCAGAAAAGGAGAGCAATGACTTCTCCCCATCTTTTGGCAGCCAAGGCAGAAAGCAAAGCTGGTGAAGTGAGCAGGCTCAGCAGGCAAGAGAGAGATCCCTGGCAGACCTCTTACCTTGCAGTTGACAAGAAGAGCTGGAACCTGTGTCCCACTGGTCCTGCTGCTATCATGGCCATGGATCAGTGCCTGCACCAGGGGAGACTCCCCCTGAAGCCTCCTCTGGTTTCCCTCCACCAGGCGTCTTTGGATCACGCTGTGTGGCTGCTGGCTCCATCACAAAAATAGTGAAAGCACATCTAAGGCCAAGATCCAGGCTGCTTGCTTCCCCAACATCTGCCTTGCAAACCACAGGACGCTTGACCCCACTCTACCCCAGACCGGAGGAGCAGTAAGAAAGTAGCCGAGCCGTGGCTCAGCAGGTATGAGCACTGGCTGCTATGCTAAAGGATCTGGGTTCAATTTCTAGCACCTAATCCCAGTATGGTACAAGCCTTGCACTGGAAGAATGGGTCTGTCATTCCATCACCGGGGAAGTGGAGAGAAGAAAATCAGGACTTCAACTACGTGGTATCTTTGAGGCCAGCAGAGCTTGAGTGGCTCAAAGGGAAAAAAAATTTTAAGGTATAAGCAGAGTGTTGGGGGTAGAATAATGAGGCATCATTCTGACCTCATCTGCAGCCACCCTCTTCCATCCTCTATTCTAGAGCTGCCCCTACCCTGCCAGCGCCACTTCCTGTCTTTGTAGGGACACGTGATGCATCCAGACCCCCGCAATGCTCTCTCTCTCTTTTTTTTTTTTTTTTTTTTTTTTTTTTGGTTTTTCGAGACAGAGTTTCTCTGTGGCTTTGGAGGCTGTCCTGGAACTAGCTCTTGTAGACCAGGCTGGCCTTGAACTCACAGAGATCCGCCTGCCTCTGCCTCCCAAGTGCTGGGATTAAAGGTGTGTGCCACCAACGCCCGGCCCCCCTGAAATTCTCTTGGGCCACTGGACACCTTTATCCACTCATAGATAAGCCTGCCTCCAGGATTTGTCTTTCTACATTGACTTAGCTAAAGTCCTACTGCTCACCATGTGGTCATTAAGTCAACATATATAGAATTTTAAGACACATACAAACATAGAGAACAGAAGGGAGAAAGAGATGGAGGTAGGTAAGTAGGTAGGTAGATAGATGATACAGATGTAGCTATAGGTAGATATAGATACAGTTTTATGTGCATGAGTGTTTAGCCTATATGAATATCTGTGCACCATATACATATTTGTACCCATGAAGTCCAGAAGAGGACATCAGATCCCCTAGAATTGGAATTCCACTGCCATGTGTATGCTCGAAATAAAACCTGTGTCCTGTGGAAGAGTGTCTTAACTTGTGAGCCATCTCTCCTGCCCTAAACCAACAGCCTTAATGACATCCTAAAGCCTATCTAAATGCAGAGCCTCAGACCTCCGGAATCAAGAATTTTGTTTTTGTTTTGTTGTTTTCTGGTGCAAGGGTTTAAACCCAGGAGCTTACACATGCCTGGCAAATGCTCTGCCTCTTAGCTGCTGTCCTAGCCTGACTCTTTGTTTTATTTGTTTTATGACAGGGTCTTCCTCTGTAGCCCTGGCTGACCTGGAACTAGCTCTATAGACGGAGTTGGCTTTGAACTCATAGAGATCCACCTGCCCCTGCCTCTCAAGATCTAGGATTAATGACTTATGCCATCAGGCCCAGCCCAGCCTTTAATTTTGTTTCAATAAGACTCCTGCACATTCAGGTGTGAGAAATGCTTAAGTAAAATGTGAAACAACTGTACAAGCCAGATGTGGTGTGTACCTACACATTTCCAATGTTCAGAAGACAGAGGCAGAATAGCCTTGAGTTCAAGGTCACTCTAGGCTACATTTAAAAAAAAGAAGAAGAAGAAAGTAACTGGTGTTGGGGGTACACCCCTTGGATCTCAGCACTCAGGAGGCAGAGAGAGGTGAATGTGAGTTCAAGGTCAGCCTGGTCTACAGAGTAAGACCCTATCTTGAAAAAAATTTGTTATTCTCCTGTGTAAAATACAACACACACACACACTGGTATAGTAACAGCCTGTTTTTGTTTGTTGTTTTGTTTGGGTGTTTGTTTTGAGACAGGGTCTCTCTATGTAGCTAGCCTTGACTGTCTATTTGCTATGTGGGCCAGGCTGGCTTTGAACTCCCAGAGATCTACTTTATTTTTCCTCCCAAGTGTTGGTATTAAAGGTGTGAACCACTATTCCCCATTCTGTATTTTCTAAACTAACCCCGAAGTGGCCTGGCTGCTGTCTGTCTGCATAGCCCGCCACACACTGCTCTCCTGCCCCAGTGACCCTCCCTCTGTGCCTGGTCAGCCCTGTTCACTCCACGCTCACCCCTGCTCACCTGTCTGCTGGAAACCCCTCCTCAGTAATCACTAAACCAGTCTGAATGCACAGCTACTCCACTGAATGAATAGAAGGGCCTTCTAACCCTGACCCCACCTGCAGGACTGGCCTCTGGGTTACTCTGCCTCTCTTCCTCCCTCTCATAGCTCATTTGGTCATGATTTTCACAGATGCTATTTTTGGATTTCACCCCACCGCAGCCTGGAAAGGCCTTCAAGTCAGATCTGTCTTGTTCATGGTTCTGTCCCAGGGCCTATTTCCACGTATAGGTGCCTGCTTGGCTTGGGGATTTGGGGTGGCTCAGTCATAGAAAACTTGCCTACTATGCACAAGGACCCATCCCCAGTGCTACAAATAAAGGAAAAGGAAAAAGACACAAAATAAAAAGGTTGGTGTTAGTCTAGTATGGCAGCACACTTCTATAATCACAGCACTCAGGAGGCAGAGGCAGGAGGATCACCACAAAGATGAGGTCATCCTGGTCTACTTAGTTCATGCCAGCCTGGGTTATATAGTGAGACCTATTTCAAAGATAAAATACAATTGTGTTGTTTATAAACTCAAAAGAAACCGTTGTAAGCCTGCCTGGGCTACGTAGCAAATTCAGGCCAACAGGAGTACATAGTGAGACTCTGAGAAACTTAAAATTGAAAGTTTCCTGGAGAATGGCTGTAGCCTCCCAGGCTGCACACACTCCTCCACCTGACCCTGGGAGCCTGGGATTGTTTTTCTACCCTTGGCCTCATGAGACCCTGGTAGCAAGTTGCTAGCTCTGGGAAAGTACAGCCAGCTCTGGCCCAGGCAGTTCCCATGCCCTTCTCTCCACTGCGACTCCATGCTCCTCACTGCTGGGAAGTGTTCCAGAGCGGTGCCAAGCAAGGAGACGGGGCTCCCAGCCTTGCTTCTTCACCCCAGCCATGGGACCTACGGACTGCAGCTCTGTGCAGGTGGCAAGGCAGGGGGGAAAGTTGAGAAAGCGCTGACATCAACAGGCTCAGTCAGCTACTCCGAGGTGGCGGCGTCCACACGGCGACCCCTGGGCAAGGCAACTGTAGGATTGTATGGAGAAGCGCAAGGCCCAGACCCCTGGGGGCCAAAGAACCCGCAGTCCTGCCCCCTCCCTATCCCTCAGCTGTCTCCTGAGGATGCTGGGATGGGGTTAGGGGTTCCTGGAGGGAAAACACAGGCGAGGAGTAGGACAGAAAGGGGAAGCCAGGTCAGTGAAAGCAAAGCAACAGAAGCGTTTGCCCCCAGGGGCTCCCACAGAATGGAATTCTGTATTCTCTGGACCCTCCAGAATTCACGCTAACTCAAAAGCTAAATGGAATCATAGAAGATTCCCGATGTCATTCCCTCGTGTTTCTGTCAGCCAGGCACTGTCCCAGTGCTAGAAATGAAGAAGGCCAAGTAACTTTCTCCTTACCAGACTGATGCTCACAACTCTATCCCTTTCTAACAGATGGAGAAACCAAGGCACGCAGTCATAGCTTTCTGATGTACAGCCAGAATTAGGTTCCAAACAAGGGTGACTCCAAAGCCCACGTTCTTAGCCACTGTACCTCTGGGGGCGGAGACTGACCCTGAGCCCCTCAGCTCCTCACGGTCACCCCAGACCCCATTCCCTCCGGGGATGGAATTGCCGCAGTGGGTTAGAAGGAAAGGAGAGAAGGACACAGACATGGAGACTGATGGTCCAGGTCAGAGCCCTGTGAACCCTGGCTGCCGGAAGACCCTCAATACATTGATGCTGGGAAAGGGCAAAAAATGGGGGAGGCAGGCGTGAGGAATGAGGCAATTTCAGAGGCAGCTTTGAAGGATTCTAAAAGCAGGGAGTCATAAGCTGAGAGAGGACTCCTCCAGGCCTTGCTGTCCTCATATGCCCATTCCACAGGATTCCCACATCAATCCAACAGCATAACTCTCCATTGTCCCCAGAATGTGCCTTGGGGGAAAACTGTGGAAGCCAAGTTATGAGCCCAGGGACCCTCAGTGTCACCAGACCAAGAACATCCCCAATGGAGGATCTAGGGAGGGCTGGGGGGCTGCAGTTTGGCCGAAGCATCTCTCTCAACAGGAGAGAGGAATCTGAAGGCTGAGGCTCTACACCACCTCCACACCCCTCCCCGCCCCAGTCAGGATATGGAGAAGAGAGAAAGGGCCAGGGGCCTCACCAGGTCCTTGGAGGTGCCGAGCCTCTTGAGGCTGTCCAGGGGTAGCAGGTCAGCCGAGTCCTTGTGCAAGAACTGGGTGGCCTGTTTGAGCCGGCGCTGCTGGCTCAGGTGGGCTCGGTCCCGAAGCGAGGCTTCCTGGCCTCTCCTGGAGTCTCCCTCGTCTCTCCTGGCCTCCTGCCCAGTGCTCATGGTCCTCTAGGGTAAACAGACAAGGGCGTCTGGGATCCCTCTCTACCCCCTCTTTGCTCCCAGCTCTCCCGGCAGCTTCTGCCTTTCTCTGGCTCCGGACTGCGGCGGCTCTCTTTCTGACAGGAGGGTCTCAGCGGGAAGAAAAGGAGAAAGAAAGAAAGAAAGAATAGGCAGGAGCAGCCGCGTCAGACACCAATTTCCAGAGATTGCAGTAGAGGGAGCGAGGTTCCGGCTGGAAAAAGCCAGCCCGGGAGGAGAGGGAGGGTTGGCAGGCTGCAGAGCATCCAGCTCCGGGGTCCTGTTCAGAGTGGGCGGCGGATTGCGAATGCGTGTGTTGTAAACTGTCAGGAGGCTGTGCCAAGTCATCGGAGAGAGAGTGCGTGCCGATGTGCGGGGGCGCATGTTTGGTGTGGGGAGGCAGGCAGCGCCTCCCTGTCCCTTGTGTATTTGTGGACTTGGCTCTGCTGACCCCCTCCCAGTCTCTGGACAGTCAGCCACCCAGCTCTCTTCCTCCTGCTGTCCTCTGCTGCCAGGGTTTGAGGTGATGGTCAGAGAGGGACAGTATGGAAGTGTCCTCCCCACCTCTCCTCCCTCGGCCATCAGAAGGAGACCTCCCCTGCTTGTCTTCTCCTTGTGAGACAGTCTGAGCATCTCTCTCAAACGGCAAGGATACCAGGAATGCTCTAGTGACACAAACCTCTGAGATCTTCCGTGTTAGAGGCTGAAATCCAAGTCATACAATGAAGAACACTGGAAATGTTCTGGGCCTAATCTGCTGCCTCCGCTGGGTTCGTCTGTGTCTTTGCCAGTGACTCACCTTGGTCACCTCCCTGCCTTGCTGTGTGTGTTATAGTTACAGAATCCAAACAAGGCCTAGTGATACAGTCCTAGAATCCCAACTACTTGGGAGAGTGAGACACCAGGATCACGAGTTCAAGGTCTGCCTGGACTACAGTATGAGTTAAAGCCCAAGCTTTCAATCCAGTGATAGCTCGAAAATAAAAAAGAAGGGCCTGGGGAGATGGCTCAGGGCTTCCGAGTGCTTACTGATTTCAAGTGGGTCACAGACATCTGTGACTCCAGCACATACATGGCACACACTCACACCGACACACACAAAAATAGGAATAAAAATGAAATGTCAATATTAAATGAAAATGATAATAAAAGGGAGCTGGGGTGAGATTGGAGAGATAGCTCATCAGTTAAGAGCACAAATGCGCTGGGCGCTGGTGGTCCGAGCCTTTAATCCCAGCACTCGGGAGGCAGAGGCAGGCGGATCTCTGTGAGTTCGAGGCCGGGCTGGACCCACAGCCTCCAAAGCAATACAGAGAAACCCTGTCTCGTAAAAGCAAAAAAAAAAAAAAAAAAAAAAAAAGAGCACAAATGCAGCCAGGCAGTGGTAGTGCACGCCTTTAATCCCAACACTCGAGAGTTCAAGACCAGTCTGGTCTACAAGAGCGAGTTCCAGGAAAGCCTCCAAAGCCACAGAGAAACCCTGTCTCGAAAAACCAAAAAAAAAAAAAAAAAAAAAAAAAGAGAGAGAGAGAGAGAGAGAGAGAGAGCACTAATGTAAACACTGCGGTTCCCAGAACCCCAGTTGGACGTCTCAAAACGCTCTGCAACTCCAGGAGATCTGACACCCTCTTCTGGACTCCAAAGCACCTGTACCCCCACATTTCCACACATAAAGACAAACACACGTTTACATGTCATTAAAATTGTTTAGAGAAGTCTTTTTTTTTTTAAGTAAAAGAGGGCTAGAGATGCTAGAAGGCTTTCCTAATAAGTACAGGCCCTGTTCAGTCCCTATTGTAAAACAGCAACACAAAAACAGTTACAAAATCCGCAAATGCCCACAGGGCCTGAAGCAGAGGGATGCTCAAGCCCAGGATTTCAGGGTCAGCTTGGGCAATAAGCTGACCAACAAACAATAGAAAATCATTTCTAGGGCTGGAGAGATGACTCAGCAGCCAAGAGCTCTGGCTGCTTTTGTGGAGGACCCAGCTCAAATCTCAGCACCAACACAAGGCAGCTCATTGTAACTCCAGCCCCACGGGTCTAACAGTCTCTTCTGGCTTCCTAAGGCACCAGGAATGTGTGTTTCACAAATATACATGCAGACAAAGCATCTATACTCCTAAAATAAACAAGTAAGATTTTAATAATCACTAAGGAGTAATTACTTTAATCTCTAATGAAGAAACAGAAGTTTCCAGCAGCCCCCTGTAAGATTCTTGTCTCTCTGCTGTGATCCTAGTCTTTAACGGCTATGCCACATCTCTCTAGCCAACTCTGTAGCTTTTTTTTTTTTTTTTTTTTTGAGACAGGGTCTCTCTATGCAGCTCTGACTGTCCTGGGACTCACTATGTAAAACAGAACGGCCTTGAACTCTCAGAGATCCTCCTGTCTCTGACTCTCTGAGTACTGGGGTTAAAGGTGTGCACAACCATTCCCTGCCTTTTTTCCTTCTTCCTTTTTAGATTCATTTTACATATATGAGTGTTTGCCTGCATTTATGTGTAGCATGTGTGTACCTGGTACCTGGTGCCTGGTGCCTTGGAGGTCAGAGGAGAACATTGGATCCCCTGGATCAGATGGTTGAGAACCATTACGTGGGTGCTGGGAAATAAACCCAGGTCCCCTGCAAGAGCCCCAAGTGCTCTTAACCACTGATCCAACTCTCCAGCCCCCTAGTACTCTCAAGAAATGGGGGTGGAGGGAGGGTTCCTTCCCATGACACTTGAGAAATTTATTACATCTCTTACTTGTTTCATCTTACAGTTCATGTAATTATCAAAGTGGATGGCTATAAACTCAGAAGGGCCCAGGTTCTCCGCTGAGTGGTGTTCCCTCACACAGGAACTAGTATTTACTAAGGCTCTACTCATTAAGCTAGCCCTGAGTACACAGGGGTATGATGGCTACTTTGAGGTCAACCTGCCACAAATTAGAATTTCCTGAGTGGGAAGTCTCAACAGAAGTGTCCTGACTGCCTTGACCAATGTGGGAATATTCACCCTAATTGTGAGTGGCACCTCAGGCAGCAGCTCAGATAAAACAGGTCTAGGCAGAAGGAAGAGTGTCTCCCCTTTTGCTTGCCAGGCCTCCCTCTTGTGACTGCCCTATTGCTGCTGCTCGCCTCACTGATGTCAGAGCCAGCATTCCCAAGCGTTAGTTGTAGACTAGGGACCAGTGGCTCTCCAGGAAACTTCCCAGCTTCTGGTGCCAGGCTACTGAGGCACTATCCCCAAGGACTAAGTAACTACTGGGTTCTCAACTCTGAGGTGTGATTCTGCTGTTGTTACTGTTTTACAGCTGACTTAATACAGGTCAGGTGTGTGTGTGTGTGTGTGTGTGTGTGTGTGTGTGTGTGTGTATGATCATTCCTTTGGTTCTGTTCCTCTAGAGAATCCTGATTAGATAAAGAAGCCAGGCAACAAGCAACTAAAAGTATGTCAGGTAAGTTGTTCTAATTCATGAGGAAAATAAAGAGCTTAAGAAAATAGACACAGCCGGGTGGTGGTGGTGGTGGCACACACCTTTAATCCAAGCACTAAGGAGGGAGAGGCAGGCAAATCTCTTGTGAGTTTGAGGCCAGCCTGGTCTACAGAGCTAATTACAGGTCCAGGACAGTCAGGGCTACACATAAAAACCCTGTCTCGCCGGGCGTTGGTGGCGCATGCCTTTAATCCCAGCACTCAGGAGGCAGAGGCAGGCAGATCTCTGTGAGTTTGAGGCTAGCCTGGTCTACAGAGTGAGTTCCAGGACAGCCTCCAAAACAATACAGACAAACCCTGTCTCGAAAAACCAAAACATACGAAAGGGGTGGGGGGAGGAAGAGAGAGACAGAGGGGCGGGAGGGAGGGAGAGGAGTGAGTGAGAGAGAGAGAGAGAGAGAGAGAGAGAGGAGAGAGGAGAGAGAGAGAGAGAGAGAGAGAGAGAGAGAGAGAGAGAGAGAGAGAGAGAGAGAGAGAGAGAGAGAGAGAGAGAGAGAGAGAGAGAGATAGTCACAGGGGAGCACTAATTTCAGCTTGCTCTTCCTTCTGACAGACCACCTGAGGGACACCGCCCCTCCCATGTCACAGAGAACAGAACACTGGCTTCCACAGGCCTTCTAAGCTCACTTAGAGCTGTGGGCTTTGTGTTTGGGGTGATGGTGATTGCCAAGCAAGACACCAAAAGGCAAGATTTTCTTCGTTTTCCAACCTCATAGTCCTCAGGTTGAAAACCTAGAAAGTTTTGTGTCTTTGGCTAAAACCAAATTCCACTTTGGATTGTCATTTGGTGTCAAATAATTATTACAGATTATGTATGCATACACATGTATTAGTTACTTTCCTTCCTTGTCATAAAATACCTGACAGAACTTCTTCTAGAAGGAAGGATTCATTTTGCCTATGGTGGAGGATGCCGGCCATCCTGTCCTGGAGCGCATAGTGACAGGACTGGGAGGCAGGTGGTCACGCTGCTTCTGCAGTCAGGAAGCAGAGAGACGAAGGTTGCTGTTGGCTGGCTTTTTCCTTTTCTTCCTTTTTTCCCTTCCGTTCAGCCCAGGACTCCCCACCATGGAATGGTATCCCCCATATTCAGAGTGGCCCTTATTTCCTCAGTGAACACTCTCTGGAAACTCCCTCACACACTCTTAGTCACTGTTCTATTGCTGTGAACAGACACCATGGCCACAACAGCTTCTTTAAGAGAAAGGGTTTAATTGTGGGCTCGCTTACACTTCCAGAGGTTTAGTCCATTATCATCACGGTGGGGAGCATGGCAGCAGGCCGGCGGTGAGGTGGTAGTTGAGAGCTCCATTCTGATCCACAGGTCAGAGAAAGACTCGGCCTGGCATGGGCTTTTGAAACCTCAAAGCCCACCCCTGTAGGGGTGTGGACAGGGGTACAGGGACAGGAAAGAATATAAGGAAAAGGGAAAGCAAAAGTCCTCTCTCTCTTGGAAGCTGGCTGCGCTTCTCATCTTCCCAGCTTGTATGTTAAGTGCTTTCTCCTGTTAATAAAAATACTTGTTTCCCCCATTGTATTGATTTCCTCGTCACACCCCCAGTGACACACTTCAACAAGCCGCTACCTGCTAATCCTTCTAATCCTTTCAAATAGTGTCACTCCTTAGTGACTAAGCATTCAAATATATGAGCCCATGGGGGCCATTTCTATTAAAACCAGCACACACATGACCAGAGTTGTGTCCTCTAGCTGACTCCATATGTAGTAAGTTAACAATGAAGATTTTCTCTCTCTCTCCTCCTCTCTCTCTCTCTCTCTCTCCTCTCTCTCTCTCTCTCTCTCTCTCTCCTCTCTCTCTTTCTCTGTGTGTTTGTGTTTATATAATAAAACAGTGTCTAACTAACCTAGGAT